GGGGGAAGGGGGAAGGGTTCCCATTTTCCTTCCTAGGCCAACCCGGGGGTGGGACACCTCGAAGGACCAGGAAGGGGACTGGGACCTGGAATGGGATCGGGACAATCAGTGGATTGCGGCTGGAGGAAGAGAAGAGGTGGTAGACTGATAGGTAAGAACATGTGAGAGGGCAAAAAGGGGGTAAGGGGGACCAGGAGCTCTTTTTATTCTAATTTTTGTTGTTGTTTTCCCCGAAAAAAGCTTCTGCAACGGTCCTTATCCGTTCCAGTAACACAAGCCGTACACGTGTCGCGGCTGTACTCGTGGCAAAATGCACTCGCGCTTGATCCTTCCAATACCTCATATATGTGACATGATGGATATATCCACACCACAAATAGGTCCAGGTGAATTTGTCCGCACCAAAACTAGGTCCACGTGGCGGACGGATGATCTAACACGTGCACAGAGTATATACGAAAGCAGCACCGCCTCATGAAAGCATCCCTCTGGTGTTTGAATCTAATCCGCAAGTCGGGATAACCAGAGAGTTGTCATCGGAATGGAATGCTTCATCGAAACAAGACCCACTAGCAGACCACCACGTGGACCGCTCGCCGTAACGACAGACCGCCACGTGGACCGCTCGCAGTAACCACAGACCGCCACGTGTACCGCTCGCCGTAACGACAGACCGCCACGTGGGCCGATCGCCGTAACGACAGACCACCACGTGGACCAATCATCGTAAAACAATTAATAATCGCGCAAACGGTTAATAATCGCGCAAAACAGGAGTGAGGAGACCAGAGAGTTGTCGCCTCGCCGAGATCCAGCGGCCTACAAAGATCAGCTGGTAAGGCAAGGCACGCAAGTGGCATTCCGTGCAGGTCCTGGGTTCAATCCATCCGTTGGCTTCATGTACCTCCCCCCTGGGTGGGCAAGCTTGGCCCCCACCACTTCTAGAGATAGGCCGATGGTCCCAGCGAGAGCGGCATTGAGCAGAGAATGCTGATGGTGCCAGGGGGAGGGGGGACCCCGGAGGAGGGGAGGCACAGCAATCAGCCCATCGAAGCAGCAGCTCGGTCCTGATGCTACCGGCTGACCCCTCGCCGCTATCGCCCACCTGCAGGTTGGGTGCAGCCTCCGCATGCTCCCTCGTTGGAGGCTTGGAGGTTTGAATTCGGCTGGCTGCTGCGGGTTCCTCCTATATAATACTATAATAACGAGTATTAGTGATAGTAAAAAAGGCCTGGAAGGCCGTTCTGTCCACATTGGACAGGTAATTATGCTGTATTGGTTGGGCTTAAAAGAATTAGGCTCAACTAGCCTTTCGAAATGAAAAGAAAAAACGTTGTCGCCAAGATGCTTCATCTAAACAAGACCACAGTCACAAACCGCCACGTGGACCAATCGCCTTAACCACGGACTGCCACGTGGACCAATCAGCGTAAACCTATTAACAATCGCGCAAACAGGCGTTACCGGGATGCTTCATCTAAAGAAGAACACCTGCCTACTATCTAGGCTACTTCCTTCCAAAAAAAAAAAAAAAAAAAAAAGAG